GATGTGATGAACAGCGCTAGCTCGAAACGTAATTTTTCAGAAATAGGGATATATATAAGAATTTTCTTCTGCACGTTGTTTATTGTTGCTATAACTACATATGTGTCTTTGTCGCCTATGCAGTCGCCTTTACACTATAGACAGTAATAAAGAATCCCAATATTTCAGTCAACGTTTCACCATTGTAGGATTGGTAGTACAAGAGAACTGTTTTGTTTTTTTATAAACTGCGATACGAGAACAATAAAACATTTCGAAAAGAATCGAACAGACGTACGTGGTCATGGTAACAATATGTTTAAGAACAGAAGAAAATCCTTATTTAGTGTATATGCCGTGCAGCACTAGCAAGGAAACATTTTAGATAAACTTACATAATCATCGTAAGAATATTCTCATTTAGGAGAAAGTCTCCTATAGTATATAAACTGTGACTAGACAATAATGAAGCAATTCAAATATAGTTATTTAAAATCGTGTAATGATAACAATAGAAAATCGTTACATAGTGTAAAGTGGGGTAGGATAACAATGAAAATACAAAATAATTATATCTTGTAAAAACATTGTATATATATATATATATATGTATATGTGTATACCAGCGAAAATACCTAGCTTCGCTCGGGTTATTAGGCTGATATATTCTAGATGACTATATCAGTGTGTATATTCTGAACCTATTTTAGCATAAAAGAACAGTCAAAAAATATTTTAAACATTTCTATTTCCTAGAAACATGAAAACATTTCTTTTCTATGTGGTTTTTCGCTGGCTTTCCTCATTAGAAAGATGCGCGCGCACACACGTGGATAAGATAAGTAATAATACTCAGGTGCACACCCTCAGGGTCCACTTAGTATTTTGTAATATAAGGAACCACTTTTTTCTATGTGGTTTTTCGCTGGCTTTGCCATACTAAAAAGATGTGCGCACGCACGTGGATAAGATAAGCTATAATACCCAGGTGCACACCCTCAGGGTTTACTTAGTATATTGTAATATAAGGAAGCACTTCTTTTCTATGTCGATTTTCGCTAGTTTGCCTCATTAAAAGGATGCATGAAAGTGAAATAGGGCAGAGTTTTGCTAGTGGTTAGCATTTTGAACTGTGAATCTAAGGATCAATGGTTTGTGTCCTGTTACTGCAAAATCTCACTCCACACTTTGGAGCTGGAGCTGTATTATAAGAATAATGGTGAAATCCCACTTTTTGACTAAAGTTAGCACTGGGTGCTGTTGACTAACTGCCTTTCATTTAGTCTGTCAGTGGATAAGTAATAATATCCAGGTGCACACCCTCAGGGTTCACTTAGTATGTGTGCAAATATTCAGGTTTCTAGGTACTTTCCTCTTGGAGTTATGGCGGTCAAAAACACTCACACAGACACGCCCTTTTATTATTATAGATACATAACCTACTGCAAAACACCAAATATTATTACATTATTAGGATGTAAGGACATGATGTAGGATAATTGGGGAATAATTCAAACAACACTATTATCTGAGAGTATTACATCACATATTTCACAATATTATCAATAGATGACAGCACTAAGCGCTTATATACTTCCCAAAATGTTTGGAAGTTTTTTATTCTAAGTGTTGTTGAACGTTAAGTGTTCTGTAATACTGTAATGAAATTAAGCCTCATTTTCGCACTACTTACAAAACTGACCTCAACATTTATATAGTAGAACACTGCGCATGTACACGTAGTTAACGTAGCCGTACTTCTTTTATATCTTAATGTTAGTAGTGGACTATGGCAATCAAACTTTGTATACCATTTTCAATAAGTATAATTCGAATTTTTCGAAGAACAATTCTTGTTTGTTCATAATCTCTGCCTTACTAAAACGTTAGCTTAACAAGGATGTAAATTTAATTTACGAAACGTAAAACATATTGTAATAACTTATCCGAAACTAAATAAAAAATATGATTCCTGATAGATTCCTATTAATGTTTGGGGAATCATTGTATCTTGGTAACTTTCTTGTTTGTCACACAGAACTCATCAATCTCAATTAACAGATGTCACTATTCTAACTGGACCTACCAATAACAGTCCGTTAATGACACAGCTACCAAGAGCGAACAAAGAGTCTTAAGTTTGTGGTTTTGAGGTTTTTTGTGAGCGAACAGAATCTTATGCGTATGGTTTTGAGATTTTTGTGAGCGAGCAAAGTCTTTAGCGTGTGGTTTTGAGGTTCTTTGTGAGCGAACAGAATCTTTAGCTTGTGGTTTTGAGGTTCTTTGTGAGCGAACAGAATCTTTAGCGTGTGGTTTTGAGGTTCTTTGTGAGCGAACCAGAATCTTTAGCTTGTGGTTTTGAGGTTCTTTGTGAGCGAACAGAATCTTTAGCGTGTGGTTTTGAGGTTCTTTGTGAGCGAACAGAATCTTAAGCTTGTGGTTTTGAGGTTCTTTGTGGGCGACCAGAATCTTAAGCTTGTGGTTTTGAGGTTCTTTGTGGGCGACCAGAATCTTAAGCTTGTGGTTTTGAGGTTCTTTGTGGGCGAACAGAATCTTTAGCTTGTGGTTTTGAGGTTCTTGGAGAGTAAACAAAGAGTCTTAAGCTTGTGTTTTTGAGCTTCTTTGTGATAACCATTCCTTAATCATAGCAAAGCTCAAGTAAGTATATTACCAGTAAGGAACAAGATTAATTAAACTTGATAAACATATTGGAAGTTTTATGACAACCAGATGATCTTCGTGTTTCTTCTAATTTTATTCGACGTCTTATGAAGAATGGCTACCTTGTAACTTAGTGAATCATCTGGATAATTATACATTAAAGTAATACGGAATTATCTGCTAAGACACATCCCATTTAAACTACATAAAAGATCAACTATTTAGTTCATGAATGTTTCACCAAAGTTTCGAACCGACTTTTTCTCAACGTTGTCCACGTTCCTTTCGGCTAAACCTCGTGTCCTTACCTGGGCATTTCTATGCTAATCAGGAAATAAAGCCTTTTATTCAGCTAAATGTGTCTCTTAAAGACCAAAAGTTTGGTGTTTACCAACATAGAGACGGAACCCCTTTTAACTCATCGGGTATTGAATTATTGCTGACGTCAACATCTTTAACTCATTACCATAACCCTGGCCTCAACAGATGAAGCAAAGCCTGACTAACATAAATATTTAACAGGAGTCGGTAGTCTCCTGTACACCCTCGGGAACCTGCTAACAACGAAGTCAATATTTACGACAAGTATGATTCGGAAAATGTTTGTTTAACAAAACTAAGTTATAACTTTATACTCAGGTTTCGGATTAACACACATTTTGATCCGACAGATCTAGCCTTGAGTTAGTGTAACAAAGCTGACTAATTTCGTAAGGAGAAAATAAGCTAGCCGCAAGACCACTTTTTAGAAAATACGATCCTAATATCTTTGAAATTAAAAAGGACTTCGTAATTACTGAAATGTTCACTTAACTGATTTCGAGATTAATCAAATGTAGAAGTATCTATTCATTTATATTGT